GGTAATTATCTTGGCTTTTATGACAACATTTACTTTATAAAACGAATGTGTACAGATTGAACAGTAGTGTTTGCATAATTTCATGCCCGATAGACAACCAAGGAAGAGTCAAATCGATAGCCGACGATTAACTTCAGTGATGAATGTTCTATTATAATCTCATGTGCTAACGAAGATATACTTCGACATTTCATGACATCTTTTGCACTGTTTCGTCTCGGTAGTGGCTTCTCTTTTACGAGCAATTAAATATTTTAGATGATTCATGATATGTATCTGCTGGTTTACAATAATAAACTCATTCTCTTTTTGTCCATTTCCGAGGAAATATTGGAAAAATGCCAAGACGACGGTTATGCCAACATCCAACACTACATACTGTTTCTTCTTATGTAGCAACAGGTTCTCGGCTGGTCTCTTCTCGACTTCTCAATTTTATACGGACTCGTTATGATTTGGAACAATTAGATACTCGTTGGTTGGGCTCGAAGTGTCAATGGGTGAAAACAAAGGTGATGAAAGAACAGGATGAAACTGTTGAGGAGTATGACACGGATACTGATGGTGACGAATTAAGTGAAAATAGTTCTATGGATCATGAAGAAGATGATGGTGATGCAGAAGATGAAGATAATGAAGAAGGTGATAATAATGAAGAAGATGGTAACAGTGAAGAAGATGAAGATAATGAAGAAGTGGATGATGGATGCGATCGACAAGCTGAAGATGATGATCACGAAGAAATAAATGATAAAAGTGATCAGCAAGGTTATGATGATGAAAAACAAAGTGAAGATGATATGCTTCTTGAAGTTAGTTATCTCGAAGAACAAGCGATGGAACAGTTATCTGCGGTTTTTAAATTACTAAAAATGTATCCTATCCATGATAAGTGAGTTTCAGATGTTGTTTAACTTGATAAAAGGTTTCTGTTTAAGATTAAATACTAACTCGATTCGTTCTCGAATTAGTCAAGTTTATACAGGGTTGGAAATAATATTATTCCAGGGGGATACCGCTATAATTTTAAGCAGAAGACATAATGAATTGTATATCAGATGAAAGCCCGCCAAAAATGGGATTTATCGATACTAAATAGTAAAGGTTACAAAAACTTTTTAATATCAAACTTTGGACATTTTCAGAAATTTTATATCTTTTTGGCGTAGAAAAGTAAGGTACCAGTAACTTTAAAACGGAGTAAAAATTTTTTCTTGGATATTTTCATAAATTCCGATAGAGCTCGTCGAGCTCTACAAAACTGTACATATTAAAAATTTTTTAAGCCATATTTTTGAGATAAAAAGTTCAAAAAACTACTTGGAAAATCTCAAAAAACGTTAGAAATCTTCTTTTTTTTATATGGAAGAAAAACACTTGGTTCTTAAATAAAATTAGTTATTTTCATTATTTTTACTACCTCAGAAGTTTCGAAATGTGCCCACTCGATGCAGCATGAAAAACTCCGTCTAATGAGTATATTTCGAAACGCCTAACGCAGTAAAAATAATAAGAAAAGCTAATTTTATTGAAAAATCGAGTGTTTTTCTTCCATATAAAAAATATGAATTTTTATAACATTTTTTAAGATTTTTCCAAGTAGACTTTTGAATTTTTTATCGCAAAAAAATGGCTTAAATTTTTTTTTAATATATACAGTTTTGTAGAGCTCAACGAGCTCTATCGAACCATGTAAGAATATCCAAGAAAAACTTTTACTCCGTTTTTCAATTGCTGGCACCTTAATTTTCGACCCCAAAAATAGTATACATTTCTTAAATTCAATATTAAAAAGTTTTCATAACCTTCACTATTTAGTATCAATAAACCCCATTTTTGACGGGCTTTCATCTGATATACAATTCATTATGTCTTCTGCTTAAAATTATAGCGGTATCCCCCTGGAATAATATTATTTCCAACCATGTACATATCTTTATGGCTTATGTGATATACTAGAAGGAAAATCTGGAAACGAACATAACCCAAATTCACATGAGCTTCTTGTTGAAGAATCGAATGATCTTCTGACAGGTTTAAAAAAATTTATTCAACGAAAGCTATGCTTCCGAGCAAGTTCGTTTGTTAACCATTGCACCTAAGGCATGGGGTCGAGAAAAAATTCGTAAATGGTAAGTAGTATGAAAGTCAGTAGCTGAATATTCTATTTCGACTTAGTTTCATGAACGAAATCTTTGTATACACCGTTTCTTTTCAGGTTTGGATCATCTGAACTTCAGGCTCGTGAATCACTTACCATTCGATAGAACGAAGGTATTCTGGCTGTCCCGCAATATTTCAAAGGCAATACTCCAATTTCGAATGATACGATTACTACTATAGTCAACTCCTACCGAGAAGATGGTACTAGTCGTATGTCATCAAATTTCAAAAATACAATTCAAATTAATCAAAACACAGTACCTATTCGTTATATGGAAATGAGCATCTTAGATGCTTTTCGAATATTTGACGAACGCTTTCCTGGTTTGGTCGGTCGTACAACATTTTATTCATCACGACCTCTGGATATAAAGATTTTATCACCACATGACACATGTATGTGTATCATACATGAAAACATGAATCTTTGGATCAAGGTATGTATTCATTTACAAACTTCAGCGTATCATTAAAATATGTTTTAACCCTATCAAATTCTACTCTGCTAAGAAATTTCAGTTTCTTGTGGTTTGGCACAGAAGTGGAAAGCTTACAATCTAGTGGAGGATATATAGCTTAGTTTTCCTTTTTCTGTGCATTGATATACAAAAACTTGAAACCACTTATGAAAAACAAACAGAAGAAAGCAAGCAGATAAGATTTTACACTACCACAGTCGTAATTTTCAGTAACGAGACCAACTGAGTTTATATAAATTGACAAGTTTTGTGATGCAATAATTATTTTTAGGCATGGAATAACTACATACAGAACAAGTCTACTTCAGTGGGATTAAAAATATTCGATATAAAAGATCTAATTAATGAAATGGTTTGTTATGATAATATGGAAAATTATTTTATTGGTGAATATCAGCAATGTTCGACCAAATCTCTTATTAATATTCTTACAGCAAACATCAACGTTGACATGGATGAAAATTGCTCTTGGACTGCTTGGAAAAAACTGAACAACAAATTTGACTTGCAACAAACCACGGGTTCCGTTGAAGCACTCTTTTACTCAAATAGAAGCAGAATGGCTCTCATTTATTTTACATGCATTTTGCAATCGAAGACAACGTGAATGTACAGCTGAAATTCGTACACAATCAACAAAAACAACTTTTATTGCTGCTCAAATGGATTTCTCTATGAATTACACCCTAATTCGTCAACGAGAAGTGCAACAAGGCTTCTTTTCTCAACATCAAGTCTCTCTTTTTACAATTCATTTAACAATCGAAAAAGAACACCGTGATATTGCAATAATCAGTAATTCAATGGAGCATAATGTCGCATTGGTTTACTGTGCTCAAAAAATTCTTGTTGATTACGTAAAGAAAAACTTTCCTGTTCTCAAAAGAATTATCTACATCAGGTAAATGAAGTTAATCATAGGTTAAAGAATAACATTATATAAAACTGGGCTTACGGATCTGAAGAAAGCAAAAACATTGAAAACGTATTTTTACTTTTTATATTTAGACGCATCTTAATCACAGTTAGATTAAATTAGGCTTACATGATTATTTTCTTCCAATGACTTAACTAAGGACAAAATAGTATGTGCCATGGTTCTTAGAAAGTCTCAAAATCTCATCATATTTTGCGAAGCTCGATAATGTCTTTGAAATTCGTTCGCTCTTCGAAGTATTCGAAATTATTTGAGATATTATAAACTATTTGGAACTTTCAAATCTTAGACTCCCTGGTTTCCTGTGGAATTTAATTATGGACCATAGCATCAAATAGTTTTATATTTTTATTCAAGTGATGGTTGTAGCTCTCAATTTAAAAACAATGCTAATATGCTCAACTTAGTACATCATAAGAATGACTTCAATTTGGACGCTTCTTGGGCTTTTACCGCCACTGGCCACGGGAAGGGGGCCGGTGACCCCGTTGGAGCTGTTTTAAAATCAACAGCGAGGCGAATCACCCTTTCCAAAAATATTCTACTATCAACTCCGTATGACTTTTTTACATTTTCCAAAAACCAACAATTGCAAACAGCTAAAGCTTCTGGCAAGGATCACCCAGCCATCGATATATTTTTCCTTGAAGAGAAGCTAATACAACGAACTAAGCTGAACGTTTTAAATGAAAGGCTCAAGCAATTCAAAACAACAGGTACGTCAAACCTCTTAATTTTTTTATTCAAACTTACTGCTCTTTTTTGAGACAGGCACAATTCATGGTATTCGTTGCATGCACGATTTCGAAGTTTTATCTGGCAACACAATCTCTTGTCGTAGGACATCTGCTTCTCAAAAACGTGAAAACTTCACTTTTGAACCGAATTTTTCTTGAATATCTATGCTGATATAAAAACGTAAGCAACAGTTTCGCCGAACCATTGCAGTCAATTTCCTACAAACATCTACTTTCTTGATTCCGCTTTCTGATCGCTACAGATTCGTTTTATAAAGTAAATGTTGTCATAAAAGCCAAGATAATTACC